CGTGGTTAGCTCTCTTACGCTCTTCATCTTCCACCATAACGTGTTTATTTACCGATACATGTATTTGCTAGGAGCTTGAGACTCTATCTTGGATGTCTCAAGTTCGAACCTTTACGATGTACCCTGTTGTATAGTCCGTCATTAGATATACCCACAAAAAAAAATATTTTTTCTTAATGTGTCTTTTATTGTAATGGTGAAGAAGCTGTTGGTTTTATTAGGTTAATTGGAAACAGCAGCTTCTTGCCTTGAGTCATTACCAATGCCATATATCTAGTGTCCTGTGACTTGTGTGCGTCATGGGTTGAGTTACCCTGTTGAGAGATTGTACATTTCAGTGTGAACTTTTTGTCTTTCTTATATTCTCCTTGTTTATGCTTATAAATGTAATGTTTTGGGTATTTGAAGCTTATCTAATTTCATATATGTTGATATATAGGTTGGCTCTGGGATTGGTGGAATGCTTAGTGCAGTTCATGGTTTCAATACAGGTATAATTTGATGCTTCTGTCATCAGCAGTCAAATGTTTATGTATGCATATCTCTTAGGATTCTTTATTTCAGGGATCCCTTTCCTTCAAAGTCGCATGAAGGGGCCAAAGTGGCTTCCATTTGTAACTGGGGTAAACCTCTTCTACGTTATAGCCTCTCTTTTTTTTTTTTTATTCAATATGGTGTTCTCCTGTATTTTTTCCCACCTTGTGTGATTAGGTTCCTTTTGGCTTTTATTTGTCCTCTTCACATGGTCTTTCATTCCTTTTTGTTGTTGACAGATTCCGTTGCTGCTAATGTTTTCTGGAGCAAGTGCAGCATTTGGAGGTATGGATGGATACATACTTTTGATGCTACATTCAACATAGTGCAAGATAGCTTTTTGCATACCACAGGGTGGCAATACTTGGTTTTGTGGTTACAAATGTCTTTATCCTGACTTTTAGTAGGCCTTTGTCACTTTATCTACCATTCGCAGTGGGTAGTAGATTCAAATAATATAAGGCAACCTGATCAATTATTCTTCATGGATAGTTTCACTCAGCCATGGTTGCAGGTCATATGCATACTATTTTTCTTTTATTTTGATGCCTATCAGACTATTGAGTTATCTTGGCATCCAAAACCTGAACCTGGAGTGTGGAGAGCCCAATTTCAGTCTGTTATTGAACATGGGTGGTTTTCAAAAAGAACATCATAGGCTTTAAAAAATTAACCTAAGATGATGTAGATCTAATTTTACCTTATGTCATCCAATATGAGCAGTCTGAAAGGTTTACCATGCATTGGCTGTTATTCACATTGTGTAGACACTATTTGTTCTACTTGTACCCTATTAAATTATCCACTATTGTTGTCTGTTAATCAGTTTATTTCTGTTCTCATATGGTTCTTTTTCCTCTTGTTCTTGGGCTGTTTAATTGATGGGAATCATTGTAGGTTTTCTGTAAAATGGCCTTTAAAAAAAGAGAAAAGATTGTCATGAGCTGCTTTTCAATGTTCTCTACATTTTATATAGTGTGAAGTAGCAGGAAATCCATGAGGATATGGAACCTTCATAGTTGTGCTTAATCTAGTGAGCAAGTTACGTAGAAAGATTTATTAGCCTGAAATTATCCATGGTCCTCATAGCATGCTATTGGCAAATAAATGTCACATGACTCACATCTGTTGGCCAGTTGGCCCAGTTGTAGTTTGTCAGCCTCCTTCCTCTTTGCTCAACTTTCAATCATACTCCCCAAGTAAATTCCCTTGTTCTGATGTTCTTCAAGGCTAATTGGATTGTGACTTCTTCATTTTAATTATAGTGAGATTAGATTAATAAGGTAAAAAGGAGCACATACTTGTTAAGAAACAAATGATTTTGTACCTGCAATTTGAGATCTTCCAGAAAAGTAGGATTTATGTTTGGGAGACATATTTGTTGTGAAGTTGATTTAGTTTAGAGGTATTTCTGTCTTTCATACCTATGTTATATATTTTACATATATGGCTACCCATTCAAGAGTATGCTGGTAGCATGAGCCATGAGGATCCTTTTTTTTTTGCATTTCCTTTTAATATTTTGAATAATCCTCTAGCCTTAAATACCATACATTTCTTGGAACTGGATTAGCAATTGGAATGGCTTGTAAACAAATTATAAATTCCTGTTGTTGTTGCCTTTATTATATTTGGTTGATTAGCTATGGAGATGGAGGAACATAGTTGTCCCTCAGAACACAGTCCATATTAGGGCTTGCTTGCTACAACCACTTCCAGTCTTAAGCCTCTGCACTTATAAATTTTTCCTTAGCCTGAGATTTCTGTTTTGTCTCTGTGGTTTTGCATGGCACATATTGTTTTATTTGTAAAATTGACACCATTTGTTTGCTTATCTTCTTAAAGGAAAAAATGGACTCTTCACTTGGAACTTAATGTCTTAAGTTTTTAAGGATAATCTAAAGATTCTTTTATTGGTTATTCAATTGGAAATTCTTTCTGGATCACTGGGTGTTATGTAAGATTTTAGTCTTTTAATTCAGCCTACACACAAGATTGTAAGATCTTAGTCTTTGAGTGTTTTTATTGGCAATAAGTAGTAGTCGAAGTTTTGGCATGCTTCTTATTAGAGAAAAGCTCCATGCTTGCATGTCTATTAAATTTGTTTGTTTATTTATTTCTTTTTTTAAATTTACCAGATAGGTGGAGCTTTTGCTTCTATTTTTTAACCTTTATGGTGATATGATAAGTTTTGAATTAGATTCTTATGTGGTTTAAATTACTTTTGAGTCTTTGATGTAGGTTATGCACTTCCGAAGTTTACTCAACTTACTGTGACTTCATATTATGCTGCTTCAAGTGCCTCACATTATGGGATTTCTCTGCTCACTCGGCATATTGAAGAGAGACATATTTCCCGAACTCAGCAAGAACGATGACATCTCATGGTTGCACATACTGAAGTTCTACTTATATATATCTGTAAGTCAAATAATCACTGTCTTATTCCTTTTTCAAATTACTCCCTCTGTTTTCTTTTTATTTTTTTATTTCTTAATTGTCCTAGTTTGGCCATGCATGCATTTTTAGGTAATACTTTTTTATTGTATATAAATAGCAATTATTTTTGTTGGATAAAATGAAATTACTTAACAAGATCTAAGCTATAGGAATTTTTGCCTAAACATATACCATAAAAAAGCATTACCTAAACATACGTGCATGGTTGAACTAGGACAACTATAAAAAAGGGAGAGAGTATGTTCTTTTTGCCTAAAGTTTGTACACAGCTGACGATTATATTAGACTAAGGATGATATTTTTGTTTATCAAGTTTTTAGGTGCTTCTCCCTAGTTCAGTATCTTTATCTTATGTTAGTCTTAAAGTATTGATGATGATGTCCTTCGTATGCTAATGCCACCCTTATTTCATCTTGAGTAATTGATACTTTGGACAATAGGATTGGTGAAGGTAAAAATTTGGGGAAAAAATATAACCAAGATTTCTGTTGAATTTTTCAGCTTGCAGCTGAGTTATTAATTCACTTAACCACTGCAATGCCTTTCAGGTGCTCACATGCATTGTCTAACTTTTCTTGCACTGTGGAATTATGCGTATTGCTTTGTACATGGATATAATGATTAGCTGGCAAATGACACACGTGTCAATCTATCTTCTATTTTTCATACGGGGTTGGAACATTGACCATCATTTTAAACTGAGGAGTATTAATGTATGCATAAGCTTATAAGGTTTCATTGTATAATGGAAGATTTGTATGTAGGGCTGAAAGCATTCTTGTGTAAGTTCTAGCAGCTCAACAGGATTTATAACAGTTGTTTTTCTTGTGCATCTTTCATTACATACAGTTTACAGTTAATTCTGATAAGTCATAGCAAAATATATAGAGAAGGGGAAAAAAAAATTACTTCGTACATAAGTTTAGTTTTTATTTTATTTTATTTTTTTAAACAAATTAACATTACATTATGGTTGTCACTTATGTCCATGTAGTTCTTACATAATTTATTCTTTAATTTTGATCATCAGGTGTTGCTGAAATATGTACAAGGGGAAAATAATATAACTATAGGCGCTGCCAGTAGTGGATATGGACCACCTAGTAGTGGCTTGGACAAGATTCTCCAAGCTTCCCAGGTTTCATTAGTTTTAGTTGGGTGAATATATTTGATGTAATTAAGAGCCTAAGATGCCACAATTTGCAAATATTCTTCTTAAGTTAGGTTTGAGTTTTTCCTTCCTAACAATTTGATATCTTGGTACTACCACTTCTGATTCACATAAGTTGATGGAACTCTCAGTTTTGCAATGATAATGAATCTAGGATGATTCTAATGATAGCCTCTCAAAAGAGTTTTTGCCATAGGGTAATGCTAGATGCGCGTAAGTTTTTCACAAAACATCTTCACAAACCCACGTCAGAGTGAATGGCTGGCTGCCTTCAAACCGTGGGGTCTATTCATTTAAAATGCTGGCAATTATTTATTGCTATATAGGTTTGTAAAATATTTTGTGTATAACTTTTGTGATCCTTGCATAACCGTTCATGGGTAAGCCATGTTGGTTTTTCTTACATGAGGAGAAAAGAATGTTTAAGTTGGGCTAAGTAGCTTATATTATCTGCCCAAAATTATGAGACAGTGTAATTCTATGAGAAACTTAATATATTAGACTCGGTATTTTATACTTATGAGGATTTTATACTTAAGATTTGGTATCTTTTAATCAAGTTTGGCTGTAAAATCTCTACTTTATAAGCTACAAATTTGTGGTTTTAGCTTCCTACAGTCCAAAATAGAAAAAGATAGGGTGTAGGAGGCAGCCAAACAAAGTCTAAGAATCTAACCACATGGCCTATAGTTTGATAGCATTTAAAGTAACATGCTAACCTACTGTTACAGTCTACCATTTGAAGAAAATGAAATCCAAAGCAAAAACAAAGGTAGAGTCTCAGTTATGTAGTGCAGTTTGCACCTAGCAGCGCAGGTTAGCACAGGAACCGGGATAGTATACTGTATAATCTGTCAACCTCGTTTACAACTTTATAGGGTTGTGGGCCGGGGTTTCTTAAATTCCACTGGTCTTTCTCCTCTTGTATAAAACTAGGCTATGTGGTCCTGTTGTCTTTATTGTAATGCCTCTTTTTATCATCACTTGTCCTTCTCTTCTTCTGCATTTATTTGTGGGACCTTAGATAGTTGGGTTTGATGTTAACATTCTTGACTCTGTGTTTTCTTCCTTGAAGGGTAGGGCGCCCTTCAATAAGGCACCCACACCCTTTATCTTGTGTTATTTCCCCAATCTGCCCATGTGTTATTCGATATGATGCTTGGCTAATGAGACATGCAGGTAGGGTCAAATTCTCCTCTGGTGGGGTGCCTTCTATTCCTGGGATTGGTAAGTTGCCGTTGTCTTTTGTATTACATGTCTTCTGAAACATCCTTTTTCATCTAAATGCATTTTTTTCTCCAGAAGTCTCCATAAATAGTTGAATGCCTTGTTATTTTCCTTTATTATGCCCATTTTACCTCACTGTTAAAACTGTCAAGTATCTCACCAGGGTTGCTATTTCCCTCCCTTCATTCATTGCTCGCTTCCTCTGCATTGGTAAACTCTGGTCTTTTCTCAAACGTTTTAGTCATCCATTGGTCCCCTTTCTCTTTAACTTTTACTACATGCCATGCTCTAGAGCTCTTTTTTCATTTAAGGAAATTTGTACAATATCTCTCAAGATCCCAGCCTGTTCTTCAATCCCTGAACAGGGTGTCATTGACTGGTTCAGTTCTTATTCTTCTATCTATCTAGATGGGGTTTTGGTGAAGAAGGATCCTTGGAAAATTTGTGTCCAGGAAATCATATCCAAGACCTCTTAAGAACTCAGTCTCTTTTAACTATTAGACTACTTAACAGCATGTTTGGATTGAGGGAAATACACAAGGCCTCTTATTGGGTTAATGGTTTTTTCCTTCAATCCAAATGGGGTTTTGGTGAAAATGGAGAATCATTACTTAGAAATTAAATTAGCAATATAATAAGGGAATTATGTTAAAATCAAAACAAAAGCATAGGTGAAGGAGGGGGTAGTTGTGGTATTGTGCTGATTTATCTTCATTATTGTCTTATATTATATGTAACTCATAACTAGGTAAAGGGTCCTGGATGAACGGTTTCTTAATATGGTTTCTGAGGGGGCCACCCTTCCACCTAATCCTACTCAATTTGTAAGTAAAGGCTCAGATATTGGCGCTGTCCCTTTTGTCATTTCCTCTCAAGATTGAAGCTTTAGTTCTTTAAGAATGTGTTAAAGTCACATTATTGAATATAGTTCTTGCCATTTAGGGCTTCAAGTTTTCTTCAGAGTATCCATTGATTTTTGGCTGGCAAACAAAAGACATTTTTGTTCATTCCTTGATGAATAATTGCTTCCCTCTTTTTGGTTAAATAATTGATGTTAATTATGCCATGCAATCCTGATATTGAGTACTTTGTTTAGATATCAATTCTAGATCTGTATAGTCTTTTTCAGTATAATTAATCCTTAATCAATGTTGCGTTATGCAAAGTCTTTAATTTGATGTTAACTAATGATGGATACGTTCCAAGAATGCATAAAGTATGTTAGGTGCATATATCAATAATTGGACAATCAAAGGCACATTTATCTTCTCTTACACTGCTTTGATTGATGGATTAAGAAATCTTGTTAATCAACGAGTTTTTTTTATTTATCTAGAGACGTGCTTACGCTATCCGAGATACTTAAAAAGGTTTACCTTTTGTTATGCATTAAAATCTCTGAAAGGAATGTGGGGCAATAGCTTGTTCTTGAATGAAGTTTAACATCAAGAAACTTGGACTTGATGACCTTGGGAAGGGCCATACATGATTATTCAAAAGAAGAGCCATATGAAGTGTCAAAATCAAGAAATTAACATGTCATCCTAAATGTAATTAACACTTCCTTTTGAGAAGGCAGATTGAGGATATTGCTTCAACACGGAGATTCACTACCTGAGGTATTGAAATCTTTAGATGTAATTTTCGATTCCTAACAAGGAGAAGAAAAGCCACTTTACAACTACTTGAAGTGAGCTGTGCTAACCAATTATTCCTGTCGTTTTGCCAAATATTAGCTCTATTATCTTTTAATAAGATGGAATTCATCTACAATGTCTGCAACTTTAACTAGTGAATTCAATCTCCATCTTCGTGGAAATAGACAGGTCGAGAGTTTGATTTTTTTTTTTTTCTCATTTTAAGAAAAATGAGTTGGAAATAGTGAATTCAATCTCCATCTCTCTCATTTTAAGAGAGGTCACTAGTGAATTCAATTTTTCATTTTTTTGTCAAGTCACGAGTTGGAAATAGTTGCCCTCCATCATCTTCGGGCAAAAACCTACTTTGAACTCCTCACCTTATCAAATTTAAAGGTTTTAGTCCCTTACTTTAAACTATAACACTTTTAACCTCTCACCTTGCTAGATTTTTAGATTTTAGCCCCTCATCTATTAAAATCAAAGAAAATAGCTCTCACTTTATACTGATTGTTAACTTTGTTAGCTAAAAGTAGATTTTTGTTAACTAACAGTCAACCAAAAGCCAGTTAACAGAATTAACGAAACATTATAAAACTATTTATGTTAACTCTGTTAGCTGAGAGAAAGTTTTTTTAGCTAACAGTCAACTAATAGTCAGTTAATAGAATTAACAGTCAGCTAATAAAACTAACGAAATGTTACAAAGTGAGGATTATTTTCTTCAATTTTAATAGGTGAGGAGGCTAAAAGTGTCATAGTATAAGGTGAGGGGTTAAAACTTACAAATTTAGTAAAATAAAGGGTTAAAAGTATTATAATATAAGATGAGAGGTCAAAACCTTCAAATTTAATAAGGTAAGAAGCTAAAAGTAAATTTTTGCCCCACCTTCGTGCACAAATCATTTCCCTAAGAAAATCTTTCTCTAACAAGAATTTAATTGAGTTGTCTTTAAAAGACATTTCAATGGTTAAAAACTTAAATTTTTACATTAAAATTTTTTAATTTGAATCTTGAGATAAATAGGGTTGCTTATTTCCTATTATATAACTCACTATTTAACATTAAAGAAAAAAATCAATTGAGTTAACTTTCATTAATTTCAAGAACTTTTAATTTTAGAGTTAAGGTTGTAGTCCAAACATATGTAAACTTCTTTCTTAATTACAAAAGATGAAAAGAGAAACTTTTATAGTATGTAACTTAAAAGGAGAGATTAAAGATACTTTTATACCATAAATGTGTGTAAAAAATATAAAAATTGATATTAATTTTAATATTATTATCACATTAATAAATTTAATTAGATAGTTATTAAATCAAAAATTAATTTTTATTTTTAATATAAATTTATAATAAAAAATATATTATTACATTTTTATAACATATATTAAAAAAATGTTTTATGTTCTCCATTTTCTTGGAAATCGAGAACCTTAGGTAAAGAACCAACCAGTTAAAATTTCCCTTCTACCAAACAACCTTGAATTTTTCTACCAAAAAAAAAAAAAAAAACCTTGAATTTAAGGTCGATAAAAGAATCCCAGAGATATGACAAAAATTGCATGGTGGTGAGACAAAACACAAATCCCAATTCCCGACATCAGGCAGAAGAAGAAAACTAGAACCATAATTTTTACAAAGACATGACATAAAATCATTTATCACAAGGGTGAAATGCAATTGTTCTGTATAAATTGTAAAATAATATTTTTATCTTTTCTTATATATATAAGTATGATAAAATTTTATTTTATAATTTTAATTATA